TGTCTGCATGCGAAGGGTACAGCCAGAGTCAAAAGCTTAGAGACTTCAGAGAACACCTTGAATTTCTCATCAGTTTGTGACCGTATTCGATCGAAGTGCACAGTACATGTTGACGTGTTTTACAGCAAGGCAGAAATAGAAATTCAAGGCTGCGTGCTGGATTAGTTAGAACGTTAAGCTGTCTCTTGTGTCTCGTGGTCCCTAAGATCTGACGTTGACGTTACGTGGGGTAATAAAATGTTCGCTGGTTGGATAGGCGGCCTGTGAACTCTGGACCACACTTGCAGTTGCTATAGTTTCTCTCTGAAGGGAGCCTTCACCGTCAGCATAAGCATCATCAAATGTAAACTGTCGCTTACTCGCTGGGTGCAAGAATGAGGCTAGTTACCCGCGGCAGGAAGTTTTGAGCCAGCTATGAAATATAGTGGACATGTTTATTCCGAATTCGTATTCTGTGGCATCGCTCCCCGGAACAGACGTATTTTGACAGGGCACGTCTTGTAAGGCGTGGCTGGCAAAACCCGACAAAACCCATAGCTGAAGAAGTGACATCTCGAAACGAGGCTTTCAAAACTAGGACAGTGTAGAATATATAGCGAGAAAGACAGAGGGTTCACTATGGTGACTTACAAGGACACATGAAACACTTACCAATGCAGTCGCCGGCTGATGTACAGTGGTAGGCGTAGAGCTCTGAGGGCCACATCCGAAGCGGAGGACGTCTCGAGGAGACGGTTTCTTTGACGCCTTTTTATAACGCCTCTGTCCTGACTCCTGAAGGAAAGTATAGGCTATTGTTCACTACTGACTATAGAACATCACTAACTAATCAATGACGAAGCAGTGACAAATCTGTGCGGCGAATGAGTGATGGACAGCAGCGAGTTTAAAGGAGTGGAGGGGCAGGGTACAGTGACAAAGAGATGATTCATTGGAAAGAGTGTTTTAAAAGAACTTTTTTTTTTCTGGGGCTCATGCACACGCGCTATTTTCTATACCAATTCTATCGGCCATTCGCGCACGCATGAAAGTGCTGCTATCTTGGGCTGATAACGTTGCTGCTTTGTATCCTTATCACAAGCGCACAAATGGTTGGGCCGTTACGATCAATAGTTCATGATCATGATAGTGTTATATTTTTATAATAAGAACCGGCAAAACCTTCCTTTATCAGCCCGAAATTGTGAAGCCCATGAATCGACAACGAAATCGCGTTTATTATCTGCACTCAGGCTACAAATATCATTGAGGGATAACGAATAAGTTGACACCACTTGTGCTAAGGAGCTCACGCACACTGACGCATTAGAAATGATAATAATGATCATATTGTAGGTATATTTAGCGAAACTTGGAAATCTCTCGAAATGCTCGCACATTACCAACCAATTACGAAGGCCTCTGGTGGCACCTTAAACTCGTCTTAAGATCGTCACCTTAAGATCGTCTTTTGACCTTGCACGATATAACAAATCACTACCGCCTGCAGCGCACTATATAGTCCCCCCCCCCCTTACATCATGGAGCTTCGCGCTACCATGAAATGCTATGGCGCCAGTTACAGACGCGTACGTTTCCTACCCCATCTTTTCGCCATCTTATACACCCTGTGATATACTCTTCCCCTTTGTGCATTTTCTGTCAACAAAGAGCTAACCTAAGCCATATCAATGGGGGGTGTACTCGAAACTCACCACCTAATTCTCTACACATTAATAGTAAGGAGCAGTGGGAGGCTGCTATGTGCAGCTCGGCGCCCGAGGTCCGGGACCATATCTTGGATTGGGCCAAGAGGGTAGCGGAGACCTACGCTTGGTAGGCTCCCCTGACACTCCACCACCGCACCTTTCCCTCTTGGGATGAATAAAGTTTTTCTCCTCCTCCTCCAATAAATTACTAACTAACCCAACAACATTTTTCGATAGTAATAATATCTGTGGTTTTACACATCGAAACTACGATATCATTATGAGAACGTCACAAATTTTGGCCATCTGTTTTTTTTTTCTAACGTGCACTAAGATAGCCCAGTACAGACTCGCCTCGTCCATTTCGCTTCCACCGAAACGCGGCCGCCGATCAAACCCGCCATCTTCGGATCAGCAGCCGAGCATCGTAGCCATTGTTCCACCGTGGCGGACACACGACAAAGTTCCCATAGCCACTGTTGTCGTGTGTCCTCCCTCGCGGCAAGTCGCGGGTTCAATTCCGTCTGTGGTGGGGTTCGATTCCGTCTGTGGTGGTCGTATTTCAGTGGCCATGCAGCGGTATAGGCCCGTGTACTGTGCGATTTCAGTGCACGCAAAGAAACACCGATGGGTTTAAATTTCCGGCGCCATCCACTACAGCGTTTCTCATAATCACAGCGTGTTTTTTGAGACGTGATACCCCAGATATCATTATATAACCTGATATTCATATGGTGGTACTGGGGCGTAAAAGCCGGGATATTATCCCTCCTGGTAAGGTTCCTCTGCGGGTCTCAGATCCCGCGTCTACTTATCGAACGTGAAGAGTGTTCTCTCAACAGCGTACACAACTCAACAATGTAGCCTTTCAAGGAAGACTCTCTGTGTGCCACCTGGTCCATCTGTGATGTTGAAGATGCGAGAGTGGAGCCCGGTATAACTAAAGGCAAAATTTTGTGCGCAAAAACGAGACTTTCACAAGAAGGAGAAGACAGGACGGGCGCTAAGGTATGCTAAACTCCTAGATAGATAGATAGATAGATAGATAGATAGATAGATAGATAGATAGATAGATAGATAGATAGATAGATAGATAGATAGATAGATAGATAGATAGATAGATAGATAGATAGATAGATAGATAGATAGATAGATAGATAGATAGATAGATAGATAGATAGATAGATAGATAGATGGGGTTTAATGGCTCAAAACCACCATATGATTATGAGAGACGCCGTCGTGGAGGGCGCTGGAGATTACGACCATCTGGGGTTCTTTAACGTGCACCGAAATCTGAGTACGCGGGCCTACAACATTTCCGCCTCCATCGGAAATGCAGCCGCCACAGCTGGGATTCGATCCCGCGGCATGCTAAACTCCTGTATAAGGTTGTTTATAATATCAGCGATAATCAAGAAGATTAGTGGTAGTGCCGTCAGCGTCGCACCGGCTTTGCGAGCACGTGACCGCACAGATTAAGGCTGATAGTGCGTGTCTCTAATCAAACAGCGCAGCAGACAGCGATCGTGTACGAGTGTGCTCTGTGCAGTTGCACGTGCGGCGCGAAGAACTTTATTTAAATAGCCGGAAAAGTGACACCTCTTACTCCGAGTTCACACTGAAGCATCCGCTTTCTATACAGCGAGCGAAATTCTTCTGCCGCTGAAACGCAGCATCGTTCGCACTAAACACGTCCCGCGCCACCCAATATGCCATCTACCACGGGGCGAATGCGGGAATGGATGAGCTATCAGCCCGGTTGTTGTCGCGGCTCTGAAGCGCCGCTATGCTATTCGGTGGTCTAGACTTCGATGATTCTCGTATGCGGGAAGCAAAAAGAAGCAGGACTGGTTACTTTGCTGCACAGTCGCTGTCTTGTGATGCATTAAAAGCAGAAAGAACTGCCAACGCCAACGGTGTTGGTGGGTTCGTGTTGGTCTGCAAGACCACGACAACTTATTCACCAACGGACAAGCTCGGTCACCTATTCTATGAAATAGGGACGGGAAGTAAGCACAAAGTGGGTTAAACTCTCGTTGGTAACAACATTCAGTTACTTGTACGGCGGCATGACAAGTGAGTTGACTGCCATTTTTCAAAATTCTTTGACTATAGCGCTCCGATTGGTTCGTGGTGACCGATTCGGCGGCAGACGCTGCAAAAATCGGTCCGAGAGCAATCGGCGCGGAGAGGGCCTTTTCGGCGGATATCGCCGCCGCCGAATTGGATTCGGCGCACTTTCGGTGGCCGAAATGCTCAGTGTGAACGCGCCTTTAGGGCGACACCGCATCGTGTAGGAAATCTCGTTGCTTCTCACGCTACCACGACAAAGGGCCAACCCTCGCTCATTATAATGTTAGTAAAAAAACTGAATGTTGTTGTACTACAAAAGTATGACATCACGATCTTTTTTTCTGAGGTGAAATCATTTTTCACCAAGAGGAATAGGCCAATTTAATTTTATTTTGGGGGCGGGGGGAGGAGGGAAACCCTTTTTGATCTGAAGTGGGGCCGTGCAGGCAGATGTGGTCGAGCATCATTTTGGTCCATGTATATTATGGCGAAAAAAAAAATCTAAGGGAGGGTGTGCACGGACCAGGAGTGTTGTAGGCCCCTGGATACGTTACACTGCTTCTATCACTGCGAGCGAAATTGTTATTATGGCAGTAGTCGTTTGGGTCTGTCTGAAGCGATTGGTAAGGTTAGATTGACCTCAAATCAATAAGCACTACCTCAGACAACTACCGTCTCGTCTTTCTTTCCCCTTCACTTGACAATGTTTGGTCATTCAAATGCTTTGACCAGCATGTCGTATCACCACGAGGGGTAGCTGCTTACATGCCTTACCGTGCTGTCAAAACGAGCGCTCAGTTCAGCGGGCGTCGCCGATTTTACACGGCGGCGGGAAATTCAGGCGCTGACGGTTCGTCGCAACGGAGAGCGCGCATCTAAAAACAACGAACAAAAAGACACCGTGAGCCCCTTCTCCTATCTATCTCAAAACGGCCTATCACGAACAAGCAGTCTATAGTATCAAACGCGGGGCGACATCTTGAAACATACCGAATGGAAGCATGATGTAATATCGAGTAACGCCAGTGACGAGTGGCACCGGCGATAAATTCTCGCCCTTTCGCTAACTTTTGCTGTGCTGCGCACAGAAGAATTCCGTAGAGTATTCGCGAATACAGTGGCGACCGGATATAAAACAGGCGGCGCCAGCGTGCCAGTGACAGGCTAATAGAAATAATAGAAAAATGATTCGGGCCTGCTCACTACCCTGGGGATTGCCTCTGACGTCACTCACTTTCATTCTTGTCACTCACTTTCATTCTCGCCTTCTGCCGAGTAGACGAGCGTATGCACACTCCCGCCGTTCGAGAGAGCAGAATTCGAAGCCTGCCGTTGGGCGCTGGTGTTTCTTTCGGTGAGTGCATGAATATCACCGCGTTTTTCTGCGTCTGTGAAGTGCTGCGTGTTGATGTGATGTGCTTAGTTCGCTCACTGAATGTTCGCTAGTGTGTGCTCTCGCAATGGGGTAGTGCATGCTGGTCTGTCACCGATATTGCTGATGTGCCGAAGGTCAGAGTGATTTCGAACCCATGCAAGGACGAACAAAAAGCGGGAAAGGGAGCGTGCCCTTAATGAGGATGAGATTGCCATGCGTTGTCTTCGTGATTCGAAGGTATGCTTTTTGATTTCGTTTAAAAGCACCACTTCTAACACGTTCGGTTCTTTCTGTAAAATGATGTCGCGTGCGCTTTCGACTTGTTAGCGTAAGCGTTGACGTTGTAGACACTTTTGCCTGAGCATCGCTGACGCTGAACCCCGCGGTAGTGTCACGAGACAGTGCTAGGAGCTGCACAGATTTCGCGTTTTTTTCGGCGAGCGTGTTTGCCGAGACGTGGTCTGCCTATAGCTGCAAATGACGGCGAAATGAAGTAAGCGCACCTTTACGCTCCGCTTAACCGAATTCACAAGCGGAGCAAGAGATGCCTTTCACGCTGCTCCGCTCGCACCTCGAACCATCAGAATCAAGCAATAAACTCGCTTGCCAATATCTTCTTAGAAGAGGCGTTTTTCCGTCAGGGTCACTAAACATCTCGCCACTTGCGTTTAGCACAACGGAGGAGGAGAATAAAAACGGAAGAGCACGTACGGTGGTCAGTTCTCCTTAGCACTACGGCTTATCGTAACAACTCGGATTACTTTGTTTAGGAAAAAAAAAAGGAAGAGGAGAACTACTAAAATACCACGTGATATGAAGATATACGCGCGGGACAGCAAACACGGGTGTGAAACTACTGCCCATCGCTCAGTTATTAAGTGCGAAGCGTTTCTTAGTGAAATTCTGTGATTTTGAGCGTATATATCCAGCCGCTTACGTTTAGGTGCTCTCGTGCTCATCCCCCTTAACTTGGCGTGAACCAAAATTATAGCATGGGAGGGTAAAAATAGTTTGACGAATACGACGCGCTGGTCTACATGAATAATGTCACAGTCCCGTCGCGTACGTCGTTAAACACTTCTCGCCAGACAGTGGCACTTACCCGCAGACAGGTACGTGCCACTGGTATGCGGATATGTGGCACGAGTGATTGACACTTAGTATTTACCCAGGAACGACAGGAACTCACATGGGCAATTTTAACGCGCGAGCATTAAGAAATACCCGACATCGGTAGCGTCGACCCCGACGAATGCAAAGAATAAATGTCAGGGTCCCAGCTGGAATCGTACCCAAGCATTCTACTTGGTAATGAAGCATTTTACCACAAAGCTACGCCAGCTCCCCGAACTACTTTTCAAATGGACGCTAATCTTCGTCAAACGTCAAGAGGGGTTGCAGTAATGCCTACCAAATTTGATAAGCATTACATATGTACTCCTTCGATACAGACGTCACGTTGGGTTAACGTCAATTGTGGTTAGTTGCCATGCGCTGAAGTTGATTTATGTATCAGTGTTCAGGGCCAGCATCCTCGCGAGCATCCGTGCTTCATATCAGCTTCTGGTGTTTCTGATACGCATGCTCCAGTTGGCTTCGTTGCGCAAGTTCAAACAACTGGTTATATAAACATCTGCAAATCTTCAACATATGTCTGTGCGTGCAACATTTGTACATGTACTTAGCGTTATTTTATGACGTGTGGCTCAAAAATTGTAACATGGTCATCTTCTCTTAGCATAACGTCGATTCCCAGGTACGTGGTGTCTGCCGAATTTTTTTTAAGCAAGCTCCACAAAACTTTGCAAGTAGTTTGATTAGAGATCCTATAGATGTCTTGTGAATGCGGCAAAAATACGAAGCTCTTCTAAAAGTAAGAAAATATATAATTTTACTATATTTATTTTTTCAAGGAACATTTGCGGAAAAGATTCTTCCTGAATAGTGAAATCTCTTCTGGTTATTACATGTGTCCAGGATGTCCTTCTGAACCAGTATAATAATCGTAGGCTTGATGTAATAATTGTAGACTTGCTAAATGTCTACATGTTTGATGACTAGAATTTAAGGGTTTTTGTCCTTAAAGAAAAACTTTTGCAAAAATGTAATTTTAGTGGCAACACTATTATTTTGTTTCAGAATGGGCGCACACTATTCAGAAAGAAGTCAGAAAAGTTTGCACTTGATAGCTGCCGTGGTCACACAAAAAAATGTAGCTTTTTTGACGAAAAGTAGTGTTTGAAGAAAACACCACTTTAAAGTTCGAGTTCCCTCGGTGCAGACACGAAATCAAGTTCGCTCGTTTACGTCGTGGATCGTTTACGTCAGGTTATACGCCTGCGGAGAAGCCGCTGTATCCTCCGTGGTACCTAACTCTTCCACGAGTACGTCTTACAATTCCAGGACTGCGTAAGAAATCAAATGAGCCTTCGCCAGCATTAAAAAAAATCAGCTTGATACTTTTGCACAAAGTGAACAGTGGTAACCACTTACACATCTAGACCGATGGCTCAACTACAGTGTCTGGTTCTGGGGTATTGGGGGTGATACTAGCTCGAGGAATAGCCTTGCGAGTCAAGCTGTCACAGGTCACTGCGTCTATACGGCGGCAGATCTTGCGGCTCGGCGCGGTGCCCTGGAGTAAGTCGCAAATCAGAGACCAAGCTAATGGGCTGTGTTTTTCCATACTTGAAACTGGCCTTACAGTGCGTAAAGTCTTTTCTTCAACGAGGTTGCCACAGACAGCTCACCTACGCGATCGTCAAGCTACATCGCCACATCCTAGAAACAGGCCACGAGGTCAGTTTTCACCTGGCTACCTGGTCATTGTGAAATCAGTGGCAACGATTCCGCAGCCTATGCACATCGCACCAATAAGAGCATATCCTTCCAATTCCTCTGTCAAGGACAGACGCTGCAAGGCAGCTTCGTCATCTGGCATGTAGCCTATGTCTATTAGAGCGGAACATCCTAAGCATAAGACATACAAGACTCCACAAAATAAACCCTCAACTGGAACCTCAACCTCCATCCGGACTTCGTCGACGTGAAACTCCGCGTCTATGTCGGCTTTGGTTGCGGGTTGCCTTCACAAAAGCATATACAACCGTTATTGGAGTAACCAACAGTGCAGAATCAGAGGTCTGCGGCACCGAAAACATCGACCATCCGCTATGCCGTTTCCCTCGATTTGTCTTTGAAAGACGAAAACTTTCTGACGCGTTGCGACAACTGGACGATCGGCCACTCTCCGTGCACATGCTGCTGGAGCACCGTTCTCGTCTTTAGTCGGCTCACAAAGGAGTCAAAGCCCTCTTACGCTTTCTGAGGACTACGGGTCTATGTGAACGCCTTTCACTTTGGCCTAGTACGACTATTACTAGTACTACCGCTGTGTGCGCGTCAGCCCATGTACTGACAATTTTCTCCCCTCTTTCCATTCTCTTTCCCCTCTTTCGTTCTTATTTTTATACTCCCCTTTCACATTCCTCCAGCGTAAGGCAGTAAACTGGGCGTTCGCTCGGTCAAGACGCGTGGCGTCTCGGCGGCAGTGAGTGGGCCTGAAATTATTTTTCTAGGTGGAATTGGACAGGCAGTGAGCGTGTGGGTGAAGGGTGGTGTGAGAAGTATTGTTCAAGTTGGTCGTGTAATGCGGTTAGTCAATCATAGAGAAGGTTGTCGACGGGCCGACGATGGGAGGGAACACAATGACGCTGGAGTCTGATTCCTGGGTGAGGAACATTCGAGACACGTTCCAAAAATTGTGGACTGGATGCGTTTGGTAGATATTGAAGACTTGACGTGTTCTCGAATAGTTTGTAATGCATGACATTGAATTTTGCACGAGTTGTTTGGTTGTTCTCGTTGTTTTAAATCTCATCTGAGTCATTGGCATTCAAAGAGCTCCCCTTCAAGGAGGAGCGGGGGCGCGAATGTTTGTACAGACAATGTATGGGGTGATCTTGCGCCCTCCCCCTCAGAGTCGCAGTGCCCCCTTCCTTATTATGTCAATGTATTAGGCTGGCTTTGCGCCTAATACATTGACATTCTCGCAGTTTTTTTTTTTTTTGAACCACTGATGTTGTTGGGGTAGCCTAAGCTGTGATAGCAACAATTCTTATCGAGAGCAATCATTGTTCACCACAATGTCGTAGCAGAAGATAGATATCAAGAATAAAGTGTAAAATAAAAAATAAACACGCATTCGGGACCTGGGTGCAAGTAGTGGAAGGAAGGCCACCGCTACCTCCATTTTCATATTTCACCGCTGCGCCATGCCACATGCGTGACACGAGTCCATCGTCAACACGTTCGTGTATTCTCTTTCATGAAAAAAATTACTGACGTATCTTGCAAAATGATAAAGAAATATATACTCAAAACTGAAAAAAAGCACAAAAAAACCTAGCATTTTTTTCGGTGTTCGAATGCAACCGATGAGCGAAGCTTCCTATAAATCAGACGCGAACTATTATGCGAGTTTTGAAACTGTTTATTAAAGACATTTTAATCGAAGATTTCCGGTTTTCGCTTGGTCTTGAAGAAGGTAGCCTTGTGCTTGTGCAGGCGTATCTTGAGGGGCTTGATTAGAACGTCTCGCAACAAAATTCGACTGTAAGTGTAGAACGGCTTGATGTTGACGCAAACATTCACATCGTTTGACATTAAGCGGTAAGTCACTGCGCATCTTTTGAACGTACACTGACACGTTGATGCACTGTTCCTTGACACCTTGTTGACGTCGTAGCCTGGTGAGGTGGCAGCCGTACCTGAAGGGGACTCGGGGTGAAATAAGGCGTTCTTCGACGAGGTTCAACCTTGGCAAGTGATGTGGCTTCAGTGGGTAGTAAAAGCCGTTTAGCATACAAAGCAATGACACGTTGTCCTGCACAAGCGATTCGTTGCACGTTCCACACAATGCAGACTCGGCGTGATCATCCGCACTGCAAGCGCAGTTAAGTTTCGCATGGCTGGTTCCT